GAGAGGAGCGGGTGCCCCTGGAGTTGGGCTGGGAGGGGATCGGCCCTACCCGACCCCTCGGCGGGCTGCCGGGCGGGAGGCGGGCCCGGCCCGGTGCGGCCCGGGTACACGCGTTTTCCTGCTCTCCTGCCGTCCCCAGGCCGGCTCCTGCGGGAGAGGGGTTGGAGCTGCGCCGGGGGGCTTGGTCCGGTCCTGCGCTCTGCTCCGCAGCTCTCGCCCGAGTAGGGGAGCAACGGCGGTGCTTTATTTCCTATTTTCAGAGCAGAAGGAAATTCTGCTCTGCTCTTAATTCTTCTACTTGCCTTTCTTTCTTGGTTGACACCTGCGTTTCCTGTGAAATGCACACACACGCACCCCCACCCCGATTTTAGGCTTTTTATTATTCACTAAAAATGATGTTTAAGTCAGAAGTTTGTAGATGGTGTAGCATGACTTCAGGCATTCTGGTCATTGCCTGTATTAGTGTTAAACTCACTTAAAGTAGGCTGCGGAGCTTGTGTTTGGAGTGATATAAATGCTCAGAAACAGTCCCATGCTCTTGAGGCTGGACCGATAACCCTCGTCCAAGTTGTCCACCATGTTGTGGAGGCACAGCTGGCAGTTAAACCAGTTAAACTGGTTCCTAATTATTTTCATTCTCTCGAGGAGAACACGAGTTTAGGAAAACTTTTTCAGAGGGAATAACACATATTATCTATGTGGCTGGCGCACTGTGTATGATTATCACTGGTAGGACAAGGACAATATATTGGTCAATCGCTCTTGTTGTTTCTGGTTAGGTTTTATTTTCAGTTTTAGATTTTATTGTGACATGGGTTGCTGGAGAACATGTGATTTTGAAAAAAAAAAAGACTTGCTCTTTATCTGAAGTTTTTTTTTCTTTTTTTTTTTAAATCTTGGGACTAATATTCTGCTATAATGAATCCAGAGCAACCCTCAGCAGCGTTTAGTGAATCTTCCTGTTGATCAGCAAAGTGTTGCAGCACTGTGGAGCTAGACCTTTCACAGTCATGGTACCGGTTTGGTGGTAGGGGCAAAAATTAAGCAACGTGTCTAATCTGTAGCCGTTGCATAGTTTTGAATCTGCGTCTGTGCATTATTCGGCTAACACAGAACAGAATTAAAACCCTCCATGACATCAGCCTTGATGGCGGTAGTTGACCTACTTACAACAGATTTTATTTGCTACTGCTCAGTGTTGGTCAGGTATAATAAAGCTTTAGTGATAATGCCAAGTTTCTTTATTCTCTAATTGTTTTAAATTATTTAGTGTTCAGGAGTGACCAAGAGACATAGGCCAAGATGGTAGTTAGAGCTTTACTGGTGAGGGGCTTTTTCAGACATTTTGAAAAGTACCTGTTTTCATTTTAAGGTTCTGGACCCACTGCTGTAGTAGTCATACATCCCACTTGAGCTGCTTGCACTGGACCAAGCAAAGAATCAGTACTGTTCCAAGGACAGTGTCTTCAGGTAGACAGTTACTCATGCCTAGCGTTGAACTGCCATTCATAGCCTTAGAAGCCAAATAAGTTTGCTGAATTTACAGAAAATGCCTTTTTGCATCGTGGTCTTGTTGTTTAGCGAGTCCCCTCTGAGGTTCTTGATGGCTTTTCCGAATGGTGGCAAAGTAAATGGGTACCTGGAAGCGTGATCAAGAAATTTGTTTGAGAAGCCCTTCTAACCTAGCACCAGAATTTTTTTTTTTTTTGTATTTGTGTGTGTTATACAACAGATATACCATTGTGGAAATACTTGTTGTTATAGAAGTAGCTTCACAACAAACTCTTCAGGTGTTTGAAAGCGTAGACTTAATTGCTCTAAACCCAAGTGTGAAACTTGCTCCATTGGGAAAAAATGGAGGAAAAGTAGAGAAGTAAAACAGCAAAGAGAACTTTAATGCCCTCTTGCAACAAAGGCAGTAGGATATGAATGCATTTCATTCTGCTGTTTCTTCTCTCAGCTTCTGCTTATGTCTTATGTAGTTTAGCAGGAACTTAGAGCATTTCATGAGTGCAAATACACATGAGCACTTCATGAGCTCAAAGAAAAAAATGTGCTCCAATCATGAGACTATTCACAGAATTACTCTTAGTTGAGAAATCCCTGCCAACACTGTACTGTAAAACTGTAAAATACTCAATTCCATGAATACTTCTGTAATGATATCAGTACTCTGACCATTTTGGGATGACTTGATGTGATTTATAAATAATGTCCTAGAAAATTGTGCAAACAGAGTTTTCCTTTCAGGGAACTAATTGAAATTTTGGCAATTTCAAGAAACCAGAAGCTTCCACAGCCGGGAGAGGAGAGCCAGGTAAGCTGACTTTCTAAACTGTATTTCTTTGGGTGAGCACAGTGCTTCACTTCTAATTGTTTCCTTTTTTCTTTCTTTCTCCCTTTGTCCTTGCTTATAGTCAGGCTAATGGTGGTGATGAGGTTTTGGCCCCACTACAAAGGCATTCATGGTCCTCATGTTGTTTGTTCATTTGTTGCATGCTTCATAGGCTGTTTCTGCAAATAGAGGAAGAAATGTTGTTTCATTTTTCATGCAAACAGAAATACTCCTACGGATGTCAATCATGCTGCAAAGAAGAGCAACTGAGGGTGTGTTGTTACTCTAGCTAAATTAAAAGTTCTACAAAACTCTTGTTCAATAGATCCTGGAACTGCTGATACAGAGAGATGGAGAGTTTCAAGAGCTAATGAAGTTGGCAGTTGATCAGGGGAAAATCCATCATGAAATGCAGCTTTTAGAAAAGGTAGTAGAAAAGAGGGATAATGATATTCAGCAGCTGCAGAAACAACTAAAAGAAGCAGAGCACATACTGGTAAGCTCATAATGATGTGTTTGCTTTTGAGCATCTACTTGTGAAAAAGGTGGTTCTGGAGAAAGTGGTGTTGTGTTAGTTTGAGAAGATTTAAATATTTAAAACTTCATAAGAGCTTAGTGGTTTGAGGTTTTTTTCAGTAGTCAAATACTGTTTAGTTATCATGGTATTCAGTTTTGTTTTATAATGGTAATTTTCTTCCAAATCTCCTTTACTTCTGCATATTTTGAAAATGTTCACTGAATAGTTTCTCTCTTAAAATGCGACTAAATGCAAGGGTTTATTCACAGAGCCGACTTTATGTGGAAGTTTACAAATTAAAGATGCATTGACGGTTTGGTTTAGTTTTGTTGTTTTTTTACAACTAGGCAACAGCTGTTTATCAAGCAAAGGAAAAGCTGAAATCAATTGAAAAGGCAAGAAAAGGTGAGTATTCATGATTGTACATACTACATAAATGCAGTTGTAAAGAAAGTTGCTAGTGAGCTCAAGTTAGGGTTATTTTATTTTTTTTTAATTCTACTGTCACAGATTTTGGATGCTTTGTGTGTAAACAAATTTCCATTTCATTATGAACCTATAACCATTTCCTCAGAATAAAGGCAGGAATGAATTACTTTTTGTGGCAAACATATCTTAATATTAAGCTTAAATTCAAGTGTCTCAACACTCTTCTTGGACTGATAATGCTATATCTGATTACCTAAGTGTCTCACCAAATTGCCTCAGTACGTCTACTGAGGAAAGGGAGAGAATGTTTGTGTGCATATGGGTTGTATTTGAAAGACTGACTAGCTGGTGATACTGGTTTGTATTTGTAGCAATTCCTGCTACTCTGTGGCACTTACCAAGCTAAACTGAGGGGTTTTTTTTGTGGGAGGCATTTTCTTGGTGTGGTTTTTTTATAGTATCTTTTATCTCTTTCATTTATAAAATCAAGGAATTTCATAAAGTTTCTATTACTGTAATACAGGCACATATTTAGAAGGACTGCTACATGTGTGCTTTACATTACTAAACAAACAAAAAAAATTCTGTACTACAGAAAATTCCATAATAAAGCAGGTGCTGAAGTTGTCTTACAAATTGTGCTTGTCAAGTACACTGCTTCAGAGACCGGTTTGTGTTTTTTCATGAGGTTGAGGAACTGTTGACATTGAAGGTGTACTGAACTCATGGCTGTAAAATCAGTTCACTGCAAAGCTCATCCTTGCATAATCTAAGAATCCTTTAAGCAGTTATTGCATTTGAAACATGCTCTTAATGTTTGACAGAATGACGTTCCCAATCTTTTTGATATTAGTGTCCAATATTCTGAAATAATTGAATGATGCAGTCTCTTGAGAATATAGTAACTTTCCTTCCCTTTTTCCAGGTGCCATTTCCTCTGAAGAAATAATTAAATATGCCCATAGGATCAGTGCTAGCAATGCTGTTTGTGCCCCTCTGACATGGGTACCAGGTAACTATCAAGTTTATGACAATAGGTTTGGGGTTTTGTGTGGTTTTTTTTTTTTTTTTATTATAAAGCATGGTCAGTATCTGGTCTTTTAATGCTTTTATATAGTGAAAAAACACTGCGGTTTATTAGAGTAACATTGTTTTCAGCTGCTATATCTAATATTTTCAACAAAAATGGATATCCGAAGTCCTGTAGACTTTATGTACATCTTCAAAAGGCTATGAAACTGCATGCTTCTCTGACTGGCCTCCTCTGCTCTCCTTTGTTTGCTTTTTTCCCCTGAATGTTGGCCCCAATTACAAGTTAGAACCAAGTCTGTTTAAAGACTTTTCCATGTGCTTGGTTGTGTTCCCTCCTGCCCCTTATAATATTCTTTACAGAGGATGTTAGTAATCAGTGGAGTCAGAAGCAGGGTTTTCATTGTGTCGTGTTTCAATTTTGGGAACTATCCTCCTTGTCTAAAATGAGAATGTGTTTTTTCCAATTCCTGTCCTTGCTGTTCAGCTGTGAAGTAGCAGGGAGAGTACAAATCTTCTAAACATGGGTTTTTTTGTTTTGTTTGGTGTTTTTTTATTTAAACCTGCTTTTTCTGCCAAATTTGAATGAACAAAGAAAATCTAAGTGAAAGACACAGACTTGGTTTTTAACAAAACAGGTGTGATGCTCATTGCTGATCCAAACAATCACAGTATGGGGATTTTTGGTCAGGAAACTAGGCACTGAGGAAAAAGTTAATGTCTGCAAGACAATTGTTAAATATTTAAAAACATTTCTTTGTGTGTTTGTTTTTTTTTTTTTTTTTTAAAGGGGACCCACGTAGGCCATATCCTACAGATCTGGAAATGAGGAGTGGTCTCTTGGGTCAGATGAACAACCCATCCACCAATGGAGTTAATGGACACTTACCAGGGGATGCACTTGCAGCAGGCAGACTGCCAGGTAAGAGAAACTCAGTTTTGTTTTGTTTTTCTTTATTCTTTGTACAGTCATAGCAATTATACATTTCCCTTAGCAAAGGCAAATCAGAGTTAAAATAATGAAAATTATGGCTAACGTTGTTCCCTAGCGGTGAAGATCTAGTAAATAAAGTTAACAATTAGAAATGGCATGATTTTGTTTCATGCTAAATCATGCTGCAGACACCTACAACTAAGTCAATATAAACAAAACTCACTTAGTTACCCTTCAATTCACTTATTTTAAATTGTTGTAAATTAAGTGATATCAAATCATGTTAAAAAGAAGCATTTTCAAAGCAAACTCTTCTTAACAGTGATGACAAAGTATGGAATTGTGAAAGCTGTATTCAGAAGAAAAGGGGTGTATTGTCATTCCCTACCTTCCTTTAAGTCTATGCTCTATATAGCAAGACTGTTTGCTTGGAAGTTCTGGATTGAAAAGACATTGCAAAGGACAGCTGTTGAGGTAGTAGCTTGAGTGTAGGAATCGAGCTTTAATCCCTTAATTGCTTAGTGAAATGGGCACTTCCACTGACTTTAGTGGGATTCATTCATGCTAAAATAGAATTTAGCAGTAAGTTACAGTAACTGAATCAAGAATTCAGTGGTTCTATACCTGTGCAGCATTAATCTACTACGGTTAGACTAAATTGTGGAAAAATTCTTAGTTGGATTCATAGGAGATCTATAACAGTTCTTACCTGTCTGTTAAGCCACTTGCAGGTGTTACGGAAAGCTTGTTTTCAAAATTTGTACTGAATATATTAAAAAAATCTATCACGACTCCATTGGAGAAATAGCAAACTTGGATTTTGTGTTTCCAATCATCTGTCTAATCCTCTTGTCACCTCTTAGGAAGTGACTTAAAGTTCTGCATCATCTCGCTTTCTAAACCTCTGGCCTTGGATAAAATGGGTCAGTGAGCTGAATAGGAGTGGGACCCTGACATCTGTCCATAGCAACCCACCAGGGAAGTGCTGAGGACGGGCCCATGTATCTTTTCTGTTCTTTTGAAATACGGTCAGAGGAGATGTTAAGGTTGTGTCTTCCTCATGGAGTTGTTTCAGTAGAGCCCATTCTGGCTGGCTCCTCTGCCTTAGGGGATGCAAACTCGTTCCTTTTTTACTTTTGAGTGCTGTCTCTGTAAGAACTGAAAGCCCACTCTTTAGGACTTTTCCTTGAGAAGCTGGAAAATGTGGGATTTAAACTCCTCAAATAAAGTTGTTAATTGAATCTGGGTCTCCTATGTCAGGGGAAATCCTCTAATTACTAGACTGTCAGGTAAGAGGGAAACATAAAAACTTCATTTAAAAGAAAGTAGAGGCTGGCCTGGCATTTTGTGTAGGCATCTTGGAATCTGTTGGTGTGTGGAGGCATGTCCCGAGAATGCTAATTATGGGGTCTAGTCCTTTTAGAGACTTCTGCAGAGAGATGTCCAGTTACTGAGTCCTTACTGAGTCTGCAAGCCAGCCACTGGGCTGCTTGGTACCCTCAAAACTTTGGGGCTGCTTAGCACACATATTCAACCTGGTTTAATAGTAGGCTGGTTCCAGCATTGAAGCATGGCCACAGGATGTAAAACACTGGCTTACATTCTCAGCTGTTTCAAATAAAGTTGCTTAACTTCACCACAGCTGGGATGAGGCCACCTGATACTACTGTTGGTCTTCCTTAAGCGGGCACAGAACTGGCATAAAGGCTGCATTACGTCCTCGCATCCGCTGGTGGGTCGGATTTGTACAGCTAGGTAATGCATCTGGTATGAGGGGACTGTGGCTGTAGTTCATATGTGGAATCTCAGGTGGCTGCAGACTTAAAGATCAGGACTTAGAATGTGTGTGGAGTCTCTGCGCTTCTGAGTTAGGCAGCACCTGAGTGAGAGTAAATCTACCATATATAACCCCCTGCTTAGACAGTGCCCTCTTTTTCTGTACTCAAAGTCCCACACGGGGGGGCTTTTGTTCACTTCTAACTCTGCCTAATTATTTTTAATTCTTGCTGTTAAGTGGGAGATAGTTGGTTTCTTCTATGGGATAGACTTACCTACAGTGCCTAGTAATAAGTGGAGAAGTGAAGCACAGCAGTAGGAGTGTAAATTAAAAGGAAGGGAGCAGAAATGGCATATAGATGTGTACTGCAGCTTTGAAATGGGAGCCATTTTGTGGGCAAGGAAGGGAGAGACTAGAAAGTGTTGTGGGGGGAGGGTAGGTTGGTAGGGGATGGCTTTGGAAGTAGGAGGAGAAGAGAAGAAACAGTGAGAGCTGAGAGAAGTCAGAAGCAACTGAGGCTGGCCTGGCTGGGGCACAGTGGGGCATTCCCACTTTTCAAGTATCTCTGTGGCCCTGGTTTTTGTAGTAGGACACTGTTCTCCTTTGCACTTGATGCACCATATTTGCTGTTGGAAAAACAATAACCAAGGTGTTTCAGCCAAATTCGGATAAAACCTTTTACTCTGAATTTCTATGGCCTACCTTAAGTATTTTTTTGATCTAATGTTTTAATCTATTTTTGCGTACTGACAGAGGGGGACCATTTTCATTACTGCCAGTGGTTGTGAATGTTAAGTCAGCTCAAACTGTGCTTTGAAGATTAAAAGCTCTGTATGAATATATACTGTTTTGAAGTGAAGTGATGAGAGATCAAGAGCCACCTACATAAATGGGCCTCTCTGGCAGAGTAGGCTTTTACAGTGATAGAATGGCTCCATCATGAGATGTTTTCCAGGTCTTACTGGAGGGTTTCATCTGTCCAAAATTCAGGAATGATTTTAAGATTTGCTTTAATTTAAAATTGGAGTTCTGGTTGAGCTGTCTTGTTGAATTTGTTGATATACAAAGCTGATAGTTTGATTGATTATGTGCCTTTTTTCCAGATGTGCTCGCTCCTCAGTATCCTTGGCAGTCAAGTGATATGTCAATGAACATGCTACCTCCTAATCACAGTAATGACTTCATGTTGGAGCCTCCAGGACACAATAAAGAGAATGAAGATGATGTAGAAGTTATGTCAACAGACTCCTCAAGCAGCAGCAGTGACTCAGACTAGGTACAAGAGGGACAGTATCCCTAATAGACCTTTCCTGTGGTGAAGGTAGGTTGGATGCGGTTCGTCACAAACTGCAATACCCTTTTGTCATGCTGGTGTCCCTGTGTAGGGAGAAGATAACAGCTGGCTCAGAAATAGGGTGACTAATTTAAAACTATGGACTTTAGAATTTCTTTTTTTTCCATTAGATGTTCAAGTAAAATGATTGGGAGCTTTCTGCTGGAGGCAAGATGTCAAATTTCCAGTGATTATGTAAATGTGTGAATGTGTATGTTTGCAAAAGACACGGGTGTATATATATATATTTACTATACATTAGATGACGAAAGTTCCTGGGAAAAAAGGTGTAAGGGGAATCCCCTTGTATGTTTGTTAGTAACTTTACTCTTTTGATGATAGCCTTTTCTATGGCACAGAAATGAAGCATGAAATTTGTTATTTTAGTATCTTTTTTTGTTACTGCCTAAATCCATGTTCTTGATCATCTTGTGTGTGCCGAGAACAAAAATATGGCAATAAGGTGTATAAAGTTTGTAATTATTGTAATATATAATGATTTGTCATAAATAAACTCAGCTTTGATGTAACTTTGCTTCATTTTGCAAACTTAAATCTTTGAGTTATTGTGTAACTTCAATACTCAGCATATTTTATCCCAGTATGTGGTTGAATTCTGATTCAGTTTCAGAAGTTTGTACTCCGTTTTCCGCTTTGCAAAATGCCAGGTCAGTATTAGAAGCAGCTGAGCAGTCAGGAACTGAAAGTCTGTCCTTTTCAGCTGAGCTTTATCAGGTATGCACAGAACTGGGCAGACCCTGAGGCAGTGATGTTGAGTGCCCATTCGCAAGACTTCACCAATACTTTGGTTAAGCATCCTGGGATCCTGGAGATGACATGCTTTGGGGCACGCTGCAGGTTCAGCTCCTTTCAGTTCAAAGTGCTCACGGATTCTTTATTCTTGTCATCTATAATTTTTTCAGTTCTTTGAACCTGCTAATTTGTTTACGTCAGCAGTTGCATTTCCTGCCTCAGCTACAATGTTTCATCTTTCCAAAGGCGCTTCCCTTGGCTTTCCTTTCCTTGTTCTGTTTTGCTTAAGGAGTCATTTTGACAGCTACTTTTCTCTTTAGTTTTCTGATTTGATGAGAGGGTTACTTACGTGAACTGCTGCTCATGGCAGTTACAGGTTTCTGCCCTGCAACGAGGCTTCCTGAAGCACAGATGACAATTCTCTCCACTTTTCCATTTTGTAGATTCCTTGCAGGAAGTATCTGATAAATCAGGTACTTCCTCATTTGCTCAGACAGTCTTTCAAATATTGCTGTCAGGACTGCTGCCCCATATGACCAACATATGTACAAATCCCGTAAGGATGTAGAAATGAAAAGGACCTCTTCAGTCAGGTTCAATCACACAATACAGGACAGTGTTTTTTTGTTTTAAAAGAGAAACGGGGAATTTGGTTTTGTCTCAGCTGTTACTTTTGGAAGTATTTTCAGAGTTATTAAAATTTCACCTCTATTTTGCAGTCTGAAGTTATTCACATACATATATATTTTAACCTTTATTCAGTACAAACTTCTCCCCTTTGGTGTTTACCCCCGTTGTCTTTGTAGAGAACTGTATTTCCTATTTAATTCATGTTAATCCCAATACATCTGGCCTCTCTCAATCATCCTAGTTAACTTTGCCTATCCCTGTTCTAGTTCACAATGTTTTTTCTTAAACCTGTGTGATCAGAATCATACGCAATATTGCAAAATGCAGTTTCTTAATGTTTTGTACCATTGCATAAGTATTTTCTTCTCTAAATGCCCCTCTCTTAACACATCTTATGACACAGCCACAGCTCACTAGTCTCTTTCGTCTTCTCATTTGTAAGGACATTTTTTTTCTTGGCATGAAATACAAGTAGAGATAATTAATAGTCATGGAAAGCATCATGTACGGTCTGCCCAAAAGTCTTATATGGCTCTATCATGTGATTCACTAACTGAAATATTGTGGAGGTGGGTGATTGTTTCCAGACATAAATAAGAGTGAACAGAAGCAATGACCGCTTCTTTTTCTGGGTTGTTTGCTGGTCTGTTAAAGGATTAAATGGGACCAATGTGTTACATCTAAGAAATAGGTAAGAAGACAGCTCTGCCCACTGTTCACTTAGCATAAAATCAGACTTTGGGTAGAAGATGCATCCTAACCAGTTTTTTTACATCAGTGCTCCAAACTACATATGGTTCAGGAGTTTTTTTCTCAATGCTGGATAACTATAATGCCATTTTAGGTTAATTATGTCTATTACAAGCAATTTAGCAAACCACAAATTTTAACTGTGTGTTCTGTTATTCAGTGGCTTAGGTGTGTACATAATAGATTTTCCTATTTAGCAAAAGTACCAAAAATCAAAGTAAACAATGTTTAGTTGAAAAGACTGAGTCTTAGCAGCTAAAAACTACTGAGAATCAAGTTTTCTTGGAGGGAAAAAAGTACAAATGCATGACACGTACAAACCAAATTATTTAAGTTAAGGATTGCTGATTGCAGTAATGCACTGCAGTCATTTAATCAGTCTACTTAGAAAGGATACAGAAACCCTGACACATGGAGGTACCGTTTCAGTAACTACTTGTATATTTACAACAGACAATTAATATAACCATTAACAGTAACAAAATATTTATTGCATGACAAACCATTTTACAGTGACCTCGGTTTTCCCATCAGGAGCTAGATGCCTTCTAAAATTTAAAATTGCATTTATCACTTTAATCTTTTTTTTTCATCATTCTTTGGGACAGATTGGCAGGACATCTGTCAACTCTTCCTACAGCCTCTTTGTTGACAGCTGAATGGAATAATTTTCAGTGTACATAAAGTTGCTTTCAGAAGAAAATCTCCACTTTTGAATAGAAAAAATAAGCCTTCTACAAAGATACAGTAGTAAGGGAATTTTCAGTGATATTTCAAAACTGCTTTGTAACATTATCTTCTTTCTTCGCTTCAGAGAAAGAATATCTGTCCTAAAGGAAGTTGCGCGTAGTTAATTCTAAGCAGGAGGCTTGCTATCGTCAGTAGCATCCTTGTACCTCCTATCACTCTGTCTGCTTCTCGACAAAAAGAGCCATCTCCATTTAAGAGAATGTATGTGCAAAGTAAGGCAAAGCTTTAAACCCTTCAAGCTAATTTCTTTTAAGAACTGACAAGTCAATTCATAATTTCACACAATTTTAATCTTTCAATATTGTTCTTATGCTTTATTCAAAAGAAATTAAAGGAATCTCAGAACATTTTGTACAATAGGTATATCTAAAGGAAACAGACAAAAACTGTGTTTTAGAAGAACCCTGAAGAGAAAAAAAATTAGCGATTTTTTTAAAAGCCATAACCTAAAATTAGTTGCTGCTGTTCTAGTGAGTAGAGCTGGAAAAGAATCAAATTTGGTTACAGATTCTAGAAAAAATGAAAAATGTAAACTCGTCGTTTTTGTATATCTGTGTACTGTGATTTCATTCACTACCCATTCAATCCTTTAGTCACATCAAACTGAAAATTAACAATTCTGTCAAATCCCAGTAGCCACAGAATTACACCCATCTGTGCTGTTTAATACTGACAACGCTTTTTAGCCAGAAGTATGACTGTCTGCCGTAGAGCTACACCTGTAAATGACATTAGTTTGTACAATGTTATTTGCGCCAGCCTAGCAGAACACCGTAGGCACCGCCCCACTAAACTATCAAGGGTTTAGTAACACGACCAGGAATTAAGATCAACTGCAGAGACCTGAAACACTTCTGCAGGTAAATTCTAATGTAACTGAGGCCGCAAACAGAACTCTCTAATGAAAGGGGGTGGCGACAAGCCACCGCAACCTTCTCATGTTTATAATACTCTGATTTTCAAATATATGTTACTGTTTGCAGGAGAACGAGGCATTGTCTGGAAAATGTAACTGTTGTTCATGACAGTATCTTAACTGAAGCTATGAGACAAGGCTAAGTTTAAATTGGTCCAAGATTTATAGTTACAGGAAAGCAGCATGATATACAAAGTAGTTTTACATAGAAAGTGGGACAGTGGTTTAAACAAATCGGTTTCTCTCGGGCCTGATGCTGCAGCTGTTTCCAAGTGAGTAAGCCTCTCTGACTTCCAAAGGGCTATTCACCTATATAAAGGTTAGCCCGGTAAAACACTGTGGGTTTCCTATGAAAGAAAACATTAATTGTTAACCACTAGAGCTAGAAATAGCTCTGGAATGAGAGACAACTGCTGTGTGAAATATGGTGAAAGCACTGAAACATTTGGCATCTTTTTGGCTTTGGGAAGGGTAATATTTTCACATGGGCAGAGCGAGCACGATATAGCCTTTCCTCTTTTTATGCCAAAAAAGCAGGTCTGTCCTTTCGTTTGTCACATAACGTACAATTAGTTTTTACGCTAGTTGGTGACTTCCCGTGTACCCTTTTAGATGATCGAGCTCTTCTGTAAAAGGATTGTAACCTTGCTCTCTTAGACAGCGTAAGGCCCAGAACAGTTGATCTGCTGGAGGAAATTCATCCCATTTAACCCATTCCCAACCTGTAGGAAAAACAAAAAAAAAAAAAAGAAAAAGAGTATAAAATTCATCGCGTAACAATTCTGCCGCTGCAAGCCTGGGTGGACTGTGCAGACTCTACCAGCACAAATTCAAGGTCTCTGCTGCGTACGCAGCTATTTTAAATTTACCACTCTCCTCCCCTTAAGCCGTGACCCTACTGGAAATGAGTGCTTTCCCAGGCCTGCAGAATCAACGTACCCGTAGCCGCTCCCGGAGCTGGTTATGTCAAAGTCAGGCGGTAATAAAGGGGAAAAGAAAACAGATCAAGCTAAAACGTGCTCAGACCTGTGCTTTGACGCAACCGAGTTAGGAGAACAGCCGCACCCGCAG